GAAACCAACGGGGATTGAATTACATATTGCATGAGACTTGATATGCTACCTCATGATGTATGCATAATAATGTTGAGAATGTATATATTGTATGTGTAATAATTGAGTAGGAGCTGCTACAGTCCCATGTTTTTTTAGCTGCTTGGATATTCAGATAAACAGGTGCAAGCTATCTCACAAATTTTGATGATGCAAAGTCTACATCTGGATATGTGTTCATACTTAGAGGGGGTGCAGTTTTTTGGAAATCAAAGAAACAAGATGTGACGAAATTATCCACCATGAAGGCAGAGTACGTGGCTTGTTATTTGGTGATCGAGGAGGCCGTATGGATTAAGAAATTTCTTAATCCACTTGACTTTCACCTCGTGCGTTGTGACGCTGTAAGAATTTTCTGTGACAGCACGGTCACGATATGCATGTCAAAGGAGCTACGATTCCATAAGAAATCCAAGCATATAAAACTATGTTTTTATCACCTGAGAAATGAGGGGAGATTGAGAAAGATCGAGATCTAGATAAACTAAATATTCAAGTGGGAGCACTAGCTAGTATTTGACATGCTAAATAGAACAACAGACTATAATGTTGTTCACCCATGGAACCCAAATGTTTGGTGCTGGTTGTATGGCTACAAAAGGGAGCAGCTTCTTTGAAGAACTTTTTTGAGCCCATGAACATACGACCCCATGCAATGAGGGTACGTGATGGTCTTTTACGTCAACAGGTCAATGATTCACGATGCAATGTGAAAGATGAGCTACACCATTTTTGGGATGAGATCCGAGCAGCAAAGAAAAAAATGTGTTGCCTCTATAGATCCTTTTGTGAAAGGATTGATGACGAAAAGCCATGATTAATGTATTGAGAGAATAAGTAAAAATGCTTGAGAGATGTTGTAATTGGGAGAGAGAGATGGGAATGAGAGAAAGAGAGAATGTAAGATCTTCAAGAGCAAAGTGGGAGATATTGGGTTTATGTGGCCTTTAAAGGGCTTATGAGTGCTTGTAAAATGAAATGATATAGTAGAACATAAATTCAGTGGGAGGGTGGTTCCTCGTGGACCATACTAAACAAACGATATTTACAAATACCGAACTGTGCTTGACGATCTAGGCCAGTCGATTGAAAAAAACCCATGTTACCTGGGCATAAAGAACAAACCGAGAAGGGTTCTAATGAGTTAGCCCTTGATGAGGTCGGAGAATATGCCAGGATAAGTGAGCCGAGGGACTGTGTGACCCTTGTGTGTGATGGTGGCCTACAGAGACAGAGGTCAAAACCTCATCCATGTACAATCATATGGCATACATATCGATAGATAGCTCGAAAAAGTAAAAAATTCACCTTTTAGGGTAAAGCGTATGCATGTGCGAGAGATACCCTTATGCACCATAGAGTTGTGGTCGCATAAGGTCTTGGTGACCTTGACTTGTCTCTAGGGGAGCACCTGAAATCCACAAACTGGGATTGCGATCCCTTAGCTCATCGGCCGTACTTTGGTGACCTGCTAATGAGTCCCTGCTTGGACTGTGGGTCATAAGAAACACTGGGTCTGTCTGATAAAATAAGTGTGTGGTCTGTAGTCCACAGTTGAAGGTGGTGTGCCCCATGATTGTTGATTCCTAAACCATATAGATGCTTTTTCCATCACATTAATTTAATTATGTTTTTA